TTTGCGAGCCGGCCGCCTGCCTGGGAGCCTCGGCGTACGCCGCCGCACGCATGACGGAGCCGGGAGCCGTCAAGGGACCCGTCTACTGAGGAGGGACCGTCACCGCGGCAGAGCCGGCCGGCAAACCCACGCCGGGGCCGGCAGCAATGAGACCAGAAAACTGCAAATCCGTAGGGAGCGACCTCTGCCCATCCCGGCTGCGGGAGGGCGCTGGGCTCGGGCAGCTGCCGGAGGGGAAACGCAGCCTCGGGAATTTAATTTGGTGTAGGTATCACCCCCCTCCCACAGCCCGGGGGATGGTGAAGAATAAAGAGAGGTCGCCCCGAGTCCTGTCCTCGTTACTGGGGTTCATTACCTGCCCCTTCTGCCCGTCCTCCGCTCCCTATGCCCCTTCCCAAAGAAATAAATTGTCTTTCATACAAACCCTCTCACTCCGTTATGTCCTGTTTGGTGCTGAATTGGCTCACTGCCGATTTCTTTTTTGTCCTTTTTTTTTTAAAAAAAAAAACCAAAACAAACAGACAAAGATTGTGGTTTGATTATTTAAGACACTTGCCAGATCCAGCCTTGTTCACTGCTGGGCACTCACAGAGCTGTAAATCTTTGTAAAATAGGATTATTTTATACCTCTGAATAGCAAAACACCAACTTTTTTTAAAAAATGGACAATAAAACAAGATGGATCGTTAATGGACTGAAACGACGTGTTGTTTTATTTGAATCAAACAGGACTATACCTGGTGGGGGAGCGATGGAGGGCTGAAGTTAGATTTTCTGTTGTGTCAAAGTTTTTTAGTGGGTATCTCAATTGCTCATTCCTCTCCTTGTGGAAAATTTCAGCCTCTCAATAAGTTCCTTAGGTGAGCGCTCTTGCTTTTTCCCCCTCTTGCACCACCGCAAAGGTCCAGAGGAATTTGCCGCCCCTGAGCCTCTCATGTGGGAGACTGAGCAAATTTGCCAGAGACACATCGGGCACCTTCAACTGAGGCCGAGTCCGCTCGGGTCCCCTCGCAATCAAGTGGGCCAGAAAACTATTAGCAGCACTGCAAAGGGTATCGATCTCTTAATAGTTAAAAAGGAGACCCGCGGCTCTAACAGGATCCGCAGGTGTCTTTCTCATTATTGCCATCGACAGCAGAAAGGATTAAAGCTGTGCGGTGGGAGCAATGGGGCTTCGCTTTGTAAGATAAATAAAAATCAATTTTTGTTTATTAGCAAAGCGTGTTGAACTTGGCAGGGTAACAAATCCCTGGGAGAGGCGGCCGTAACGGCTGGCCAGGTCCCTCTTGCGGCACAGAGCATCGTTGCCGCCGGCCCGGGGACCACCGGCAAATGGCAGCCAAAATGGGGCTGGGATGGACTGGGGCGGGATGGGGCTCAGCCCCACGCAGCCATGCTTCAGCTGGAGGGGGCTAATCCTGGCAAAGACCCAATCCAAGCCCAGGCGGACCAAACACCATCTACTTTTCCCTCCCCAGACACACCTCGCTGCATAGAAGGGCGTTTTCCCTTCTGGATCCTCATCTGTCCCCATGTCCCCAGACTCTTCAGAAGTGTCCTATATTCATTCTCCATTTAAATTACCTTCTCTGTGCCCTTTGCCAACCGCTGCCTTGTCACTTAACATGCAATCAGCTAACTTTAAGGGGATTGTCTTTTATTTAAAAAAAAAAAAAAAATTGGAAGCGCATTGCAAATGTTTTATTTGCAAGTTGGAATTTAATCAAGGAATTAAGAAGGCTGCATATTAATTAGGGGCCAGACTCCGGTTGTTTCCAATGAGTGGCAAACACACTCCGAATCTGCCTCTTCATCAGAGCTCTCATAAATATTCATCCAATAAATAGCAGATTGGATGTCTTTACAGAGACAAGAGAGATTGAAACCCAAGTATCTGTGGAAATGAAACAGCTGGAAAGCATCCAACCTCTGCCCCAAATAATAACAAATCATTATTAGGAGGAGGCGAAGAAATAGCCTTGTTGAGCATTTGTCTCCATTTCTGGACAAATGGGGAGATTCATCCTAATTCTTTGGTTTTTAGGGGGAGGAATTCAGGTTATCAACCCCCCTTCGGGGACAGCCCGAGGCTAGGCTTGCCCCGGGCTCCAGCTGTGCGGCACATCTGGGGCCGCATCCCCGCTGCACAGCCCAAATCATCTGGGTTTGGGGTTTGTTTTTTTTTCTCCCACGAGAGGGAGCTGCCTGCCCGCTGAATCCCCCTCTTCCCAGGGAGCCGGCACTCCAGTTATCCCCACTAAAACCAGTTTATACCCTTGGCAGGGGCCGGCTGCCGGATCCCCCCCGTCCCGGGCTGCACCTTGTGAGGGCTGCGCTCTCCCCTTGGCTTTGGGAGAGGGGTGGAAAGGGTGAACCCCCCTTTGCTCAGCCCCTTCCCGCCTCCGGGATGAAGGCGGCACAGCTGGAACACACTGGGAGAAGGGACCCGAGGGTGCAGGGACATGGGTAGAGGGAGGACCCGAGGGGCGAGCTGAGTCCTGGAGCAGGGAGAGGCCACTTCCAGGCAGGACAATGGGCCGCCGGAGGCAGGAAAGGTGTCACTGTGTCTGCAGGAGGTCCGGGGCTACCAGGGAGGATGCACGGTCCTTTCCAAGAAGCCGAGGGGTTCCTCACACCCAAGCACATCCCCAGATGGGGCTGGCCGGGATGGGACGGAGCAAGCGCTCCAGCACGGTCACTGGTCCTTCTGACCCCGCTGCTGTTCAGAGCCACGCATGGCCTCCCCAAAAGTGCTAATTGCAGCGGCGGCTGAGCTCTCCCTTAGCCAGAGGCAGCTTTGACCTTCAGCGGGCAACTGCGCTCGCCAGCCGCATCCCGGGAGATGCTGCAGGGCAGGCACGGCTACAGCCGGCGTCCCCGCAGCCGCGCAAGGCGGGGACTGGTGAGGCCAGCGTCTGGGAAGATGAAGATGATCAGGTTTTAATTAAAGTGCCAAGAAAACGGCTGTCTGGAGCTCTTGCTCTTTTCTCTCCCACCTGCTCATGCCCGAATTTGACATAGCGGATTCTCCTGTGGACGGGGCCATGGGGAGCCAGCGCAGGTCCTCGTCACCTCACCTGTCCCACCGGCCGTGGGGCTTTCAGGCAACGCCTCTCCCGTCACACACAGCGGCCGAGCGCAGCCCAAACTGTCCCCCATTGTACAAACCCCAGAGGCTGGTCTATGGCCACTCCAAACTTATTTTCAAAGCAAAAATGTGTGGAACCTCTTCAAATTATTTCCAGGGGTTTAAGAACCTGCTCCCACGCTTGTCCCTGTAGCGGGGACAAGGCTCCAGAAAGACGGTGTGGAGTCGAGCATCATCACGCAGCTTTCATGTGATGTAAAAGACAAGAGGAAAGAAATGAAAAGAAATCACGGCAGATCCCTTCGGGGTCACACCGATTACCCCGCCGGGCCTGCTGGGACCTCCTGCAAGAGTCACAGCTTTCGTTCTCTTCCCCTCGCCTTTGAAAGCTGTGGGGGAAAAAAAAAGAAGAAGAAGAAAAAAAGGAAGTCTGATTTCTGGAGCCTGGAGTAATTAAGGACCCTCTGATTACTGCCATTCAAGGCTGATGAGGCCGGTGGTGCTGGCTGCAGTTTGCACTTGGACAAGCACCGCTAGTTCCACTCCGGGGCCACGTGCACCATTGTTGCAGCTGAACGTGCTCTGTGCTGTCAGTGCTCCCGCACGGCCCTGGCAGGAGGCAGCGACGGCTCCATCCCATCCCATCCCAATCCCATCCCATCCCATCCCATCCGGAGTGGAGAAACCCACCCGCACAGCTCAGGGCAGCCGGAGAGTCCCGGCAGCAGCCAGGAGAGGGGACATCCAGCAGAGAGAGGGTGGGATCTACCAGCTCATGGACCACCCTTGCACGGGAAGGGCTCTCCATCCCTGGAGCATCCCCAGCAGAGCACTGCCGAGAGGAGGTGTTGCCTCCTGCACGGTTGTCCGTGGGTATCCATCAGCATCATCCTCACATCCCACCCTGGTGACAGGCGCAGGGCCCCCGTGCGTGCCCACGGTGAGGGGCAGCGCTGCCGCATGAATAATTTAGGGCAATGAGATAAAAGTTTCCTTGAGCAAGCTAATGCATTGATTAGACCAAATTGCCTCCCTCACCCTCGAGGAGGTAAAAATGAGCTAATCACCGTTTGTTCTCTCTTGATAGATGATTAACCACAAATTAGAATATTAAACAGAGGACTTTGGGTAAGTAAATTAACAGCTGAGAACTAAGTTAATTATTGGAGGAGCCATAAAACTGCTTATTTTTATTCTTGGATTATTGTTTGATGGTTTTGCCTCTTAAAAGAAGGGATTTATTTTTAAAATGGCTTGTTCTGCTGATTGTGGGCAGAAGTGCTATATGTAGCTGGGCCGGCCGGGACACACAAGGTAAATGAATCTCCTGCTCCATCAGCAATGCAGGGGGGAAGTGAATCTCCCCTCTACTGCAGAGAACGGTGCTGCCGGCCCCGGCCGTGCCCTGTGGGCAGGATGCCCCAAGCCAGGACAGGCAGGTGCCCAAGGGTCAGCCAGAGCAGCTGATCTGGCTTCTCCGAGGAAAAGGTCAAATTTGGATACTGGCTCTACCCAAAAAAGTGACAAGAGTCTTCCAGACGGGGGACACAGCAATACGGTGTTGCAGGGAATTAACTTTGTTAATAGCCCATTCATTTAAATGTAAATGGTGAGCCTGGCTGGTATAATGATGCTGGGAAATCTTATTAGAGACCAAATTAAAGGTTTGTGGGTGAGTGAGCGCGTGCAGGAGTGGACCTGAAAGTGAGACAGGGGCTTCCAGGAGAAGTGTGCCCTGGGCGGGGGTCTGTACCCAGGCAGAAAGCACCGATGCTCAGCGGTAAAGCCCAGGAGGGAAGGCTGGATTTGGGGACAGACCAGTGCTGGAGCAGGACGCGAGGGGCTAATCCCTGCCCCTAC